CAAACAGAAAAGAATCAGCTGTAGGGTGCAGAGCCCCACGATCCCTTGGTTATTTGCGCTACTGCGCAAAACCGGAATCCTGGTACTGGTATTCTTGATTAGCCTCTTTGTTAGCACATCTATCTCTAAAGCTGCATGAAAGCTTATGGAATGTAGAGAGTTCATAGAAAGGGAGTTGGTTTTATTTTCCACTTCCCTGCCATTTATTAGGATCAGATGTTTCTGCTTGAAAAAAATCTCACAATCTAATATTGAAGATAATACAACTGTTTATAGTCCTGTGAAAACAAAGCAAGGAATGGAACTGTATTATTCAGTATTATTTTGATACAATGGAAATTGGAATGTTGTCAAATTTGCTAGGAATGGAAAATGCAACTTTTTGCAACAGTTAATATTTTAAAGATGAAAGAGATTATTGCATCTAATTTTAAGGTATCTTTTAATAGAGTTGTCATGTAAGTTTGGATAAAATATCTTGAAGTGAGTCTTTATATCAGTAATATGTAGTAATATATATTTTTTAATCCTATCAAATGCTTACTTAGTTTGTTCAGTGTTCCTATTGTGGACTGAATGTAATGCAAAAAATTCTGCTAATTTCAGCTGTACTTTAATGACTTATTTCTCATTTCTGCTTTATGTATGACCTTCCTTCTCCCAGACATATATTCTCCCTATGATTGTCTTACATTAATTTATGTTCTAAATCATTTGCTATAAATTGCCTTGGAACTTTGCAGTTATTGACACAGGAGACTAGCAGAATACTAAAAGATGAATTTTATCAAATTATGAAAGTTTACAGTGCTAGTGTGTATTATTGTCAGTTTTTGAAACAGCCTGAAACAGTAGGATGTTTGTTTTCTAGCTAATGTTTTGTCTTGTTTACCTTTTCAATTTGGTGGTTAATTTGGTGGTGGACAGAAAATGATTAAATCATTTACTAGTATTTTGAACATTTCAGTTATACTGTTCACAAAGTGTTTTTGAATAAGTCTACTCTACAGGACTTAATTTATGTCTTTATTAAAAAATCTTTGATTAGTAAAACCTGGGTACAATCAGTCAGATAGAATATTTTAAAATATATTTGAAAGCCATTAATTCACATTTTAATTATCAAGCATTTGGCTGGTAAGAACTTTAACAGCAATAACACTCTTTTATTTCTGTAAAATAATATCTTCTGTGACATATTGTACATATGACTAGCCAAAACTAAGATTATTAAGACTTATTTTTCCAGTCACAATGATGCATTACTATTTTAACCAATAAAATTTTGGTAACTAAATACCATTAATATGTATTATATAGCTAAAAAATAACATTTAAGCATTCAAGTTAAAGTGGAATCCATGCCTACTCAGAAGTAAAGTATGTTGAATTTAATAGAATTTTTTTCCAGGTATACACAATATCTTTAGGCTCTTTTACCTTATTGTGTGGTAGTTTGTCAGTGATATTAAATGAATAGTTTCATGCCATGTACATTATTTTCTGCAATGCAGTTTATATAAATTCAGTGGAAGGCTATGAATGTATGTTATTTAGATCATCAGTTTAAATAACAGTGAGCCACAGATAGAACTAATTTTGGAGGAACCCTATTTCTTTCTTTCACCTTCTTGCCTTCTTTCCAAGCAACAGTGCAAATAGTTTAAACAGTAGAAGCAAATTCAGCTTGGATCCAGAGACTGATTTTGTATATGACAGAGTACATCTCTTGTACATGGGGAATAATTTCCTTCTTCTGGGGTAAAAGCTTTATATAATTTGAAGAGAAATCAAAATATAATTTAAAAACTGCTACTCTTCTTAAACCTTTAATTCAGAGTTATTGAATCTATATAAGGATGTAATGAAAGATTCTTTATGAATATGATTACAGTATGTTAAAAAATAGTAAATGTATGAAAAGGGGTTTATATTATAACTGGACATCTACTTCACAAAACTATATTGTGAAAGTGTAAGGACCCACTTCAATCCCACATCTTAAGAAAGCAGAACTCTTGGACACAATTTCTTTCAACAGAACTTTTATTAAGAGTAGTTGATAGCAGGTATAATAGACAGGATCTGAGGAATTCTTTACAGATCGATACTTTAAAGGGTCCCTAAGCAAACTCCACCCCACAGTTCATCCAGATGGTTCAGACCGGCCAATCCCCAGGGGATTAGTCCATCGTGAGAAAGGGAAGATAGCATCAGTCCGTCTCCATTTGTAGTACGATGTTCCACAGCTCTTCACACCTCCTATTGGGACCACAGAAATAAGCCATGTTCCAGTTGTTTATACTTTTTTCAACCCCCCCCCTTTTCCTAACTGCCTGCTTAGGGAGAAGAAAGTTCAGAGAGATGCATAGTAAAGGGGGCAATTTGTTACATTGTAATGGCCAGCAGACCCAGAGGCAGTAAACAAAAGGTTACATTGTAGCGAATAATAATAATAATTAATAATAATAATTGACAACATCAAGCACACTGAAGTCAAGAAAAAGATTAGAGGTGAATACATCAAGAGAGTGAAGAAGAACTTAAAGTCCAAGCTCAATGGAGGAAATACCATAAAGGCAATCAACACCTGGGCAATTCCAGTCATTAGGTACACAGCTGGAATAGTGGACTGGACTCAACCAGAATTAAAAGCAATGGATAGGAAGACCAGAAAAATAATGACAATGAATCATGCCCTTCATCCAAGCAGTGACATTGACAGACTTTATCTACCAAGGCAAATAGGTGGGCGTGGAATGCTACAAGTACATCAGATGGTTGAAGAAGAAAAAATGGCTTTGGAAGAATATCTGAAGAACAATGATGAAGATGCACTGAAATTAGTATATCAGGAAGGCTTACTAACTACTGGAGAGACCAAACTGGCCTACAAGAAAGACCAAATGAAGAACAGAATAGAGGCATGGGAAGACAAAGCACTACATGGCCAATACATTAAAAAAATAGCTGGGAAAGCAGATAATAACAAAACCTGGCAATGGCTAAGAGCAGGAAAATTGAAGAAAGAGACCGAGGGACTAATTCTGGCTGCACAAGACCAAGCCTTAAGGACAAATGCATATAAAGTCAAAATTGAGAAGACAGCAACACACAGTAAGTGCCGCCTATGCAAAGAAGCTGAAGAAACAGTGGACCACCTGGTAAGCTGTTGCAAGAAGATTGCACAGACTGACTACAAGCAGCGGCATGACAAAATAGCAACAATGGTGCATTGGAAGATCTGCAAAAAATATCATTTGCCTGTAAGCAAAAACTGGTGGGATCATAAAATAGAGAAAGTCATAGAAAATGATAAAATTAAACTGCTCTGGGACTTCAGAATTCAAACAGACAAGCACCTGCAACATAACACCCCAGACTTAACAATTGTCGATAAGAAAGACAAAAAAGTCTGGATAGTGGACGTGGCAGTGCCTGGAGACAGCAGAATAGAAGAGAAAGAACTGGAGAAGATAACAAAATACAAAGACCTACAAATAGAAATAGAAAGACTGTGGCAAAAGCAAGCAAGGGTAGTACCAATAGTAATAGGCTCCTTGGGTGCAATCCCAAAACAACTGGAGCACCACTTGAACACCATTGGCATTGACAAATTCGCTATTAGTCAATTGCAAAAGGCAGCCTTACTAGGAACTGCTTCCATCCTGCGACGATATCTGTAATACCATCAAACATCCACATCTGCCTATCCCAGGTCCTGGGTAAGGACTTGATAGGTAGACAAAATGCCAAATCCAGTCTGAATATCTGGCTGACTGTGCGATGATCCATAATAATAATAAAGTTGGAAGGGACCTTGGAGGTCATCAAGTGCAACCGCCTGCTCAAGCAAGTAACCCTATACCATTTCAGACAAATGGCTGTCCAGTTTCTTCTTTAAAACTTCCAGTGTTGGAGCATTCACCGCTTCTGGAGGCAGGATAGAGGAAGAATAGAGGAAGTGAAAGTCATAACCCCACAGGCATATCCCCCCTCTCCCTTGGGAGTATTGCAGAATCTAGGGGAAGGTGAGATTTGGTTTTAGATCGTAGTAGATAGAAATGAAATATAGGAATAGAGGAAGTGAAAGTCATAACCCCGCAGGCATATCCCCCCTCCCCTTGGGAATATGGCAGAATCCAGGGGAAAGTGAGATTTAATTTTAGATCAGAGGAGATAGATAGAAATGAAATATAGGAATAGAGGAAGTGAAAGTCATAACCCCGCAGGCATATTCCCCCTCCCCCTTGGGAGTATGGCAGAATCCAGGGGAAGGTGAGATTTGGTTTTAGATCGTAGTAGATAGAAATGAAATATAGGAATAGAGGAAGTGAAAGTCATAACCCCGCAGGCATATCCCCCCTCCCCCTTGGGAATATGGCAGAATCCAGGGGAAAGTGAAATTTAATTTTAGATCAGAGGAGATAGATAGAAATGAAATATAAATGGATTCTGACAGAAAGTGTCCCATTTAGACCAAATCCCTCTGACTTAAATTATTATATTTCATTATATTTTAAAGCAAAAGCATTTCACTGGCACTATTTTTCCTTTCTTAGTTTCATATACTATAGAAACACTGGATGTATTCGAAGTATTGTAAAAGGACTTAGGTATTCTAGAAAGCAGAGATTCAAATTGTCAAGTTATTCTTAATCGTGCAAGGGACTTTTTGGAACCTATAGTTTTCTATGCTGTAAATTGAATCTTCCTGGTGACCCTCTTCCTTTGACAAATCACTTGATCTGAAGAGCAAATTGAGCTTCAAAAGCAGGCTTTCTTGTTCTTAAGTTATCATGCCTTACATTTATGCTATTAGTTCATTGCTTGGATAGCTATAACACTGCCAGGAATTTTAATTTAAGTCTATTTATTTTCAGTCATGCACTTCAGGTGTCTAGACTGGAATTTAATATGAAAGTTAAGAGCAATACTTGTTGCTGAGGAATAAAAATAGACTATTATTGTAGTAACCACCTTTTCTTTATGATGTTCAGGTTATTCAACAAAGAAATGAAGAGTGTGACCATATTCAGTTCTTAATCGAAGAAAAAGAATCTAAAGAAGAAGATTTTTATGAAGATCTTGACAGATTTGAAGAGAATGGTACTCAAGAGTCTCGCATCAGTCCATACACATTTTGCAAGGCCTTTCCTTTCCACATTATATTTGACAGAGACCTAGTTGTCACTCAGTGTGGAAATGCAATATATAGAGTCCTTCCCCAGGTAAGAATTCTTGTTTTTCCTGCAAAGCTTTTGAATTCCAGCCCTTCTACCATCCTACTCAAGTGCTACTATTCACTTTTATATACCAGTTCTATTATTCAATATTTTGTAAGCACCACTTGGACTATGAAATGTATTTCACATTTCTTCCTTTTTAGTATTATATCTGAATCTGCACACATAGAAGTTTTAGTAATCAATCTTTTAAACATTTTGTTTTAAAAAATACTTATATATTTTTAATAGTTTTCACTTCATATTTAGCTATGCCTATGTTACCAGCTGAAAAGGTTTTTTTCCTGTCTAAATTAGCAAATATTAAGTATTCCATCATTTAAAAATATTTATATTATTTATATTTCTTCCTTTCCTCTGCCCATCCTTTTCAGGTTGATTTTCATAAAGTATAACAATGGAATACAATCCTTCATGAAAAGCCTAGAGTTTTTCATCCTAAAACTCTTTTTCATAAAGAGTCCATCTGAATTTATTTTAGCCTATGCAGCCTGAATCAATGTAAACATGAAATTTGGGAACAGGCCCTCTGTCAAAGTAGAAGTGACCATTAATTTCTAGAAGTATTGCTTGAATTACTGCTGTAGATTATAGAAAACAAAGAGAGCATAGAGATCATTTAGAACAGCATTTCTCAATCTTGGCAACTTTAATATGTGGACTTCAACTTCTAGAATTACCCAGCCATCATGCAAAGTTGAAAAATACTGCTTTAGAATATTTCCTTGCTCAGTGTCATTAAAGATAGGATTCTCATCCTGGAGCTTGGACAGTGTGAACAACTCTTATTCAATTTAATTTTTTATGCAAGAAAGTCCATTATTTAATTGTTAACAATTCAGTACAATATGAGCACTAATTCAATAAATATTATTGTACTATCCACCACAGATAGAACATAGAAAAACGGACTGCAATCACTACCAGAATTCAAAGTTTAAAAATGTTTTTCTTTCTTTTTTACTTACATTTCAGCTCCAGCCGGGGTATTGTAATCTATTATCAGTATTTTCACTGGTTCGGCCTCATATTGATATTAGTTTCCATGGAATCCTCTCACATATCAACACAGTTTTCGTGCTAAGGAGTAAGGTAATCTAAAACAGGGGTCCCTAACCTTTCTGTGTTGGCAGCCAGGTGGGAAAGGGAGGGGCAGGCACCTTTATGTGTGTATGCGCGTACATGCTAATGTGGCTGTGTGCGCGCACAAATGGGGCCACAAACATGCGCCTCTGCAAATGGGGCTGCTAGTGCTGGCATGAGGCTCATGGCTCAGCTAGTGCCAGCTTGTGGCTCGGCTAGCACCGTTGCGAGACTCACAGCTCATGGCTTGGCTAGCACAGCTTGCAGTGCAAGACTCAGCTAGTGCCAGTGAGAGGCTTGTGGCTTGCAGCTCGCTAGCGCTGTCGCGAGGCTCATGACTCATGGCTCATGGCTCGGCTAATGCTGGCGCACAGCTCACAACTTACTGGCATGAGGCTCACAGCTCGGCTAGCACCAGTGCAAGGGGGTGTGCCCAGACACTCACATGGCCCAGTGGCCAAGAGGCCATGGCTCAGCAGTGCACCACTTCAAACGGTATCTATTGTACTAGGAAGAAGATTTGAGCATAAGTCTTTTCAAATTGAACATAATAATGATCAAACAACTTCTAAAAGAATTGACCCCTTAGAAGAAGAAGAGAGATGGAAACATGTCATTAATAGAAAAAAACAGAAACCTAGAACAAAACCCCTGTCCAACCCAACCCACTCTGATGCAGACCACCGGTGCTGAGCAATCAATTTCATTGACTGTCCCTGGAAGAAAACATGCAGACATCTAGAAAAGAAGCATCATCAAATGTCCCTAGAATAGTAGCAATATCAAGTGCTTCTGTGATAGACAGAAAAATATCCCAAAACTCCCTAGGGAAAAAAATGTGAGTATTGGTGATAGGAGATTCAATTCTCAAGGGAACAGAATCAGCCCTCTGTAGACCAGACAGTCAATCCAGAGAGGTATGTTGTCTCCCTGGAGCAAAAATCAAAGATGTGGCTGAGAACTTAACCAAAACAATAAAACCCACAGATTACTGCCCTTTTTTATTACTATATATAGGGACAAATGACATGAAAATGGACCTGAAAACTATTTACTGATTATGAGCAGCTAGGCAAGAAAGTCAAGGAGTTGGGTGCTCAAGTAGTTTTTTCATCTGTACTGCCAACAAAAAGTCAACATCCAGCAAGAGAACAAAGGATTCTAGAAGTGAACCACTGGTTAAAAGGTTGGTAGCACCAAAACAACTTTGGATTTCTGGACCATGGTCTGCACTACCACCACAATGGACTTTTGGCAAGCGATGGGATGTATCTCACAAAAACTGGGAAGAATGTTTTTCGAAAATGACTGGCCCAACTTATCAGGAGAGCTTTTAACTAAAATTGAGGGGATAGAGTGACAAATCTTTAGGATCTCCAGGACCTAATACCAAGCAAAAACCCATAGAAAACAAGTCAAATAATGAGGTAAGGAGGGATGGGAAGGAAGACAAACTCCAACACCAAGTAGGAGACATAGGAAGCATACCCAGAGCCCAGAGCCAGACATAAAGATCCCTGCCTATATACAAATGCTTAGCATTTGGGGAACAAACAGAGTGAACTTGAATTACTAATACATGAAGATAGATATGATATAATTGGAATTACTGAAACTTGGTGGGATGAAACCCATAACTGGAACATACTGATAGAAGGATACAAACTGTTCAAAAAACCCAGACCACATAAATGAGGAAGTGGAGTTGCACTATATGTAAAAGACCACTATATTGCTACAGAAATGTATGAGATCAAAGAAGAAAACCTCCTAGAGTGCATATGGGTCAACATAAAAGAAAAAAAGAATGACATTGCCTTAGGTGTATGCTACAGGCCTCCCAACCAAGCAGAAAAAATAGATGCACTTTTTGCTGACCAATTAACAAATATATGTAGGAAATACACTACAAGAGTAATGGGAGACTCCAATTACCTTGACATCAAATGGAAGACTAATTCTTCACCAAGTGAGAAATTGAATAGGTTCTTGACCAACCTAGCTGACAACTTTGTTGTCCAAAAGATAGAGGAGAGAACTAGAGGGACTTAATTCTCATGAACAGAGAAGAAGTGATTGAGGGAGTTGAAACTTCAGGAAACTTGGGTGAGAGTGACTATGTCGTACTGGAATTCAATATAATGCAAACAGAACCAATAGAACATCATGATTCCAGAATCTTAGACTTTAAAAGAGCTGATTTTAATAAACTCAGAGAGAGCTTGGGAAAGAGACCTTGGATGAAAATCCTAAAGGGGAAAACAACTCAAGAAGCTTGGGAAACTCTAAAAAATATAATCATAAAAGCCCAGTCCAGTACAATACCACTGAAAAAGAAAAACAAGAAATCTAAGAAGAAACCAGCATGGTTGCACAAAGATCTCTGATAAACTCAAAGACAAAAAGGACAAGTACAAAAAATGGAAAGAGGGACACATAGCTAAGGCAGAATATCAGCAGATAACCAGACAAAGTCAGAAAATCAAAGGCTCAGAATGAACAAAGACCTACAACAAAAGTCAAAGATAATAAAAAAAATTCTTTCAAAATATAAATAACAAGAAAAAAATCAAGGAAACAGATGGTTCACTAAAGAGAGAAGATAGCAAAGAAATAACAGGCAGCAAAGAGAAAGCAGAGCTGTTTAATTCATTCTTTGCATCGTTCTTCACGCAAAAATAAATTATTGCCCAACCTACCAAAAACCTAACTGTAAAAGACAGACTAGAAATAAAAGTTAAAATAAGCAAAAAAAAAAAAAAATGATAAGAGAAAACCTATTCTGATCTTGAATATAAATCACAAAGATCTGATGGATTACATCCCAGAGTTCTAAAGGAGCTTGCAGATGTCATGTCAGAACCACTGTACCATATTTTTCAAAAATCCTGGAGCACCAGGGAACTACTAGAGGACTGAAAAGAGCTGATTGGTTCCCATCTTCAAAAAAAAAGGGGGGGGGAAACAGACTCAGGGAACTACAGACCAATCAGCCTAACATCAATACCCAGGAAAATACTGGAAAAGATAATCAAAACACAGATCTGCAAACATCTAGAAAGAGTAAAGTAATAACTAAAAGTCAGCATGGATTTGTTAAAAACAAATCATGTCAAACCAATCTTATTTCTTTCTTCGACAAAGTGACCAGCGAAATGCTGTGGACATAGTATACTTAGATTTCAGTAAGGCATTTGACAAAGTAGACCAGAACATGCTGCTTAGTAAGCTAGAAAAAAGTGGGATAGACAACAACACCATCAGATGGATCTGTAGCTGGCTGACAAACCGTACTCGATGAGTAGTCCTTAATGGTACTACGTCTACATGGAGGTAAGTAAGCAGTGGGATACAACAAGGTTCTGTCTTAGGCCCAGTACTCATCAATATCTTCATAAATGACTTAGATCACAGAGGGGAGGGAGTCAACCTATTTTCCAAAGCACCTGAAGGCCAGACAAGGAATAACAGATGGAAACTGATCAAGGAGAGATTCAACCTAGAAATAAGAAATTTTCTGACAATGAGAACAATGAACCAGTGGAACAGTTTGCTTTCAGAGGTTGTGGGAGTTTCATCACTGGAAGCTTTCAAGAAGAGACTGGACTGCTATCTGTCAGAAATGGTGTAGAGCCTCCTGCTTGGGTGGGGGGTTGGAGTAGATGACCTACAAGGTTCCTTCTAGCTCTGTTATTCTATTCTATTAAAGACTTAAAGCTCATATTAGTTTGAAAGGGTTAAAACCCTTTGGGTACGGTATTGGATACTGTACCAGTTTTGGTCATTCCAATGTAAAAAACATGTTGAGACTTCAGAAAGAGTGCATACAAGAGTAACAAAGATAATTAGGGGACTGAAGGCTAAAATATATAAAGAATGGTTGCTAGAATTGGGTATGTCTAGTTTAATGAAGAGAAGAACTAGGGTGACATGTTAGCAGTTTTCCAATATCTAAGGGGTTGCCACAAAGAAGAACGAATCAAACTGTTCTCCAAAGCACCTGAAGGCAGGACAAGAAGCAAGGGATGGAAACTAATCAAGGAGAGAAGCAACCTAGAACTAGGGAGAAATTTCCTGACAGTGGAACAACTTGCCTCCAGAATTTGTGAATGCTCCAACACTGGAAGTTTTTAAGAAGAGATTGGACAACCATTTGACTTCCTGCCTGAGCAGGGTGTTGAACTAGATAACCTCCAAGGTCAGTTCTGATTCTGTTATCTTTTGACTGTCCATATATGAGGATACACCATGTTGGATCTTGGATGAGCTTCCACAATCTGTGAATCTTAATGGAACTAAAGCTTATGCTTAAAGAACCAATGGTAGCTGTGGTCAAGAAGGCAGTCTCATCTTGTGTACCAATTGTATCCTTTCAGGGCCTTTAGGTAGTCACTCATGGTCATCTTGATTATTGTCTTGTGGTTCTACATAGGACTGTTGGGCCACCTGGACACCCCAGCTGGTCCAGAATGCAACATTATGAGCCATGATAGGTGTGCCTTGGTATCCCCAGTAAACCTCTGCTTTGCAGGCTGCACAGATTGCCAATTTGCTTATTGGTGCAATTAAAGCGCTGGTCTTTACCTATAAAGCCTTACATGGCTTAGGGCAGTGATGGTGAATCTTTTAGAGACCGAGTACCCTAAAACCAGCCCGGCCTGCCCTCGCCCAACCTCACAGGGCCACCTGCCGCTTCCACGGCCTGCCACCCGCATCCTGCAGCATCATCTGCATGTGACAGGGACGAGGGCGGAGTCTTGTCCCTGCTGCCCTGTTGCCATGTGCTTGGCTGTGCTGCTCTGTGCGGGCCGTGCCTGGGGTGAATCTCCGGGGGGCTGCTGGGGGGAAGGTGGGGCTGGGGCGATGGCGCGCGTGCCCACAGAGAGGGCTCCAAGTGCCGCCTCTGGCATGCGTGTCATAGGTTTGTCACCATTGGCTTAGGGCCTGGTTGCTGAATATAGATTAGCTGATCTGTCCTGCATAGTTGGTATGCTCTGAGTTCCTTTGGTTAAATAATGCTATCTATTTGGACCTTGAAAGTGTACTTTCTGTATAGCATTGCTTGCCCTCCTGAATGAGGTTTCTCCTGAGATTCATATGACCCCTACCCTGCTATTTTTCAGAATATGGTAAAGATTTGGCTTGTCAACTGGGCCTTTGGCAAGGGAGAGTGAGACTCTTGCTTTGTTTCCATTCAGTCTATTATTCTTGCTATTTATTTTTAAATCTTTTTTCCTCCTTTTTAATGTTCTATTGTAATTTCTTCCTTTTGATTATTTTGAGCCACCCAGAGTTGTTGAGAACTGGGTTTAACCACAACAACAGAAATGTTTTTCTTTATCATATTTGTTTAGGTAAAGATCAGAAAATCAGAAATAAAAGTGTTCCAGTTTTCTGAGGGCACAGGCTTATAACAATGGTACTTTTCACTGAAGTTTCTTTTTGTCAGGGCTTCTCTTCTCATAGAACGCCCAGAATGGAGTTCCGGCAACTTTTTTGGATGGAACCTTGTAGGATAGGCAAGGCGGGTTGTATGATGTGTGTGAGTTCCGGCACCTTTTTTTTCTTTTTAGAAAAAAAAGCACTGCTTTTTGTTCTTTCATAGGAAGGACTTTTGGATGTGGAAAAATTGGAATGTGAAGACGAGCTGACTGGTACAGAAATTAGCTGTTTACGCCTGAAAGGGCAAATGATCTACTTACCTGAAGCAGATAGTATTCTCTTTCTTTGTTCTCCAAGGTAAGCAAATAAGATTTATGTCTATAGTGCATTTATATTGTTGCAACAACTAGAATTGCAGGCTTTGAAACCAAAGAGCTGTGATGCAAAAGGTTCTATGTTTGTTTTATGTTATACTGCTACATTAGAAGATTCTTTTTGATTCTTGATCATGAGGTGATTAAACATTTCTGCTTGCCCTGCATCCTTGTATAAGATCCACTCTTGAAGCTGATGATAGCATCACTGCTGGGGAAAGTATCAAAGTATAATAATATTAAGAAAAAAAAATAGGCAATATAAAGGTGGCTGGTAATGGTACAGTCCCTCAATAACAATTATTTTAATTCTTGTATTTTTACTTTGATTTCAAACAATGTTGTGAAAAAATCAGTTATTGCAGCAGACTAAAGCTAATGTTAGTTGATGAACTGCCTTTTTATAGAAATGTACCACATATTTTGTTAGAAGAATAGAAACATGCGATATTAATAGTGTATTAAATGATAAAATAGAGATGTATTGTTACTTTTTGGCAATTAAAAAATATTTGCAAAACAGATTAATCATTATCTTTTACATAAATACCAGAAAAATCTTACTCTGTCATTTTCTCATCTCACTTTTAATTGCATTAGTGTGATGAATTTGGATGATTTAACTAGAAGAGGACTCTACTTAAGTGACATTCCCCTGCATGATGCTACTCGTGATTTGGTCCTTTTGGGAGAGCAATTCCGAGAGGAGTACAAACTGACACAAGAACTGGAAATATTAACAGATAGGCTCCAGCACACTTTAAGAGCTTTGGAAGATGAAAAGAAGAAGACAGATACGTAAGATTTAATCTCCTACTTAGAATATGAAATGGTATAAATGATCGATTTTTATCACTCTGTCCTCTGTTTGGAGGCTCATAAACAACTCTGATTCCTAATTGCCTAGTTAAAGTCAGTGACGTTACTCTAGATAAAGTAAGATAAAAATGTTGAACAAAGACAAACTGTCTCTTGCTGAAGCCTGAGAATGTTTTCTATTTACAGTTCTTGCACACATGTGACCTTTATACTTAAGTCACCATTTCTCTATCAGTCTGGGTGGATAAAGAAGATATAAATGTTTGAATACAATGAACATGGTTTAATGTCATGCCATGAACGAAATAATCTGGTTATGAAGTTTTGTAATAAACGCACTCTTCAGCCTTCACAATCTAAATGCTTCCCAAATGAGTTGCAATTCACTCCTCATAATGTGTAGTCATCATTGCTAAATTAATTTCTAGTTATGAGAGTACATCTCAGAGATATCTATTTTTGAAATCCTAATGTATAATGGGCTACTACTGACTTTGTCTTTATTGAAGTATTTTCTGTTACAAAAGCCATTTTGCATTAAATCAGGGTTCCCCAATGCCCAATACGCAGCTTACTACTGGTCCGCAGCAAGTGTTGAGCGAGCACACAAATCTCCATTTGTGCACCTGCCACTTGTGCAAATGGAGCTTCGCAAGTGCGCGCACATGCCACCTATGCACAACCATCCCCTTTCCCCCCCCACCCCCCCGTCACTGTTGATACACAAAGCCAGAAAAGTTGGGGACTGCTGTATTAAATTTAAATAAGTAAAAATAAAATCAGAAACATGTAACAAATCCAAGTGAAGTGCTACAAAAATTGTTAGCTATTGATAATATAATTATAATTAAGAAGCATATTAATAGCAATTTAACCATATATCTATTCAGCAGAATGTAATTTGCCTATGTTGAGCTGAAATGATATATGTCTCTATAAATAGCAATAAAATAATATAAATAAATAAAAGTATAAAATAATTTACTGTATATATTTATTGTGTTGTTTGTTTAGAAGTAAAGTTTCTAATGCAAATTATGCCTGCTGTAGAATATAAGTTTTTAAATCAGTGAATACTAAATATGAATATAATAAATTTATCGGAATAAGATTAATTTATTTCTTTTCTATTTTTTCCTTTGCTACTGTTACACAATCTTATGTAGATTATTGTATTCTGTGCTTCCTCCGTCGGTGGCCAATGAATTGAGACACAAGCGTCCTGTACCAGCAAAACGTTATGATAATGTGACTATATTATTTAGTGGCATTGTTGGTTTTAATGCCTTCTGCAGTAAACATGCCTCTGGAGAAGGAGCTATGAAAATTGTCAATCTTTTAAACGATCTTTATACAAGATTTGATATTTTGACTGATTCACGAAAAAACCCATTTGTTTATAAGGTAAATATGATATGTCCTTTCTGTTCTGTGAAGAGGGTAACACTGTATAAGGGCGAGCTTATGACTAATAGTGTAAAATATATATGGCTGAGCATATTTTTTATGTATTACAAACAACAGAAGCTAGAAAAGTGGGTTGCATATTCCAAAACATTTTACTGAAGTCTCATCTCAAACTATCTCTTGGCAACTTTCCTAATATGGGCTTACACAATCTGATGCTAGGCACAATGTTTACAGTCTGAAATTAAATCCCAGGTTGGTTTATCATGAAATAGAATGAACAATCGGTTTTGGTCAACAGACTGCTAGAGCCTATACAGATAAACATAATAATAATTTCTATTTTATTATGTTTAACCATGTAGTCATAATTTTGAATATTACATGTCACTGAGGATTAAATATTATTCAGGAAAATTGCTTTAACTACTGCTATAAAATAGTATAGATAATAGGTTTATTGCTTCAGGAAAAGATTGCCGTGATCTGTGGTCTTGCACTTCCTTTTAGTGGCTTATTGGGAGATATATATTTTGATGTACTTCCTAATCACAACATTATTTTTAAATAACATTTCTTCTATTGACCATATTGGAATTTTGGCAAATGAAAGCCAATGGGTATATTAAGATGGAAAGGATGTCATTTTGGGGCAAAAAAGTGCTACATTGGGGTGGGAAGTTAGGAATACATCTCCCATAATTATTAATATGTGTATGTTCTGAAGATTTTAGCTTCTCAGGATTTGTAAAAAATGGGGAAGATTGGGTAAATATGTTCCATGTTTGATAACTATGAAAATAATCTTTCTAATGAAATGATATTGCTTTAATGTCAGATAATTGATAATCAAAGGTTACTACTTTATTGAGACAAGTAAAGAAAGGAAATATCATATCATAACTTTCAGATTTATATTTTGCTAGGTTGAGACAGTTGGAGACAAATATATGACAGTAAGTGGCTTGCCAGAACCATGCATTCATCATGCACGTTCTATCTGCCACTTAGCATTGGATATGATGGAAATAGCTGGACAAGTTCAAGTCGATGGAGAATCTGTTCAGGTCAGTGATTGGCAACATATTATGGGATTTAGGGATTTAATTATGATGCAATTTCAGTCCTAACTTAATGTAGGATCAACTTTCAGGTTTTTAAATTCCATAAAAATAGGCAAGATGATGACCCACATTATGGGAAATCTGTCTGCAACTTCTTTACTTCCTGATTCCTTGTGGCTATATAGATAAAACAGTTCTTAAAATCGAGGGTTAATTAGTATACAATTATGGACAACAAGAAGAAATCTTATATATGTTAACATGCCTCTATAATATAGTATTGTAATTTATCTGGAAAAAGATGGACCAATAGACTAATATTTCTTTGCAATTCCTTACTAAGCAATTGGTTATATTTCTAAATACATAATTTTATTTTGCCATTCTTAGAGAAAGTGTAGATATTTTCAGAATTACATTGAATGAATTTTCTAGTTCAGTTATATAAATGAAAACTTGAAATAGACCAACTATACTATATTTGCTCTAGGTTTGTAGTATTGTGTTACATATTTTGGTATATAGATTCAGTTAAAATTAAGCATAAGGTTCATAGTGTATTTTATTACTGACTAACAATACTATTGACCTAATACTAAATCAACTTGTTATCATTTTCTTTTCTGTTGATTTTTTATAATAGATTACAATAGGCATTCACACTGGAGAAGTGGTCACAGGTGTAATTGGCCAAAGGATGCCTCGTTATTGTCTTTTTGGGAACACTGTAAATCTCACAAGTAGAACAGAAACAACAGGTGAAAAAGGAAAGATCAATGTCTCTGAATATACTTATAGGTGAGAAATTAAGTTTACTTATATCATTGTATCTATTTCCAAAACACAAATTTTAAACCAAAAATGCTTTATAAAATTTACTCTAAGGATATTTTCTTTCAATTTACACTAACTAAAGTTTAGTTTTAAGTTGAGATAAATTCCTGGTAAAATATGGATACACCCTTGTTATTTTTGTCATAACAGTATGGAAGTAGTTCACCTACAGATAATGCACGACTTATGACTACAGTTGAGATCAGAATTTCTGTTGCCTAGTTAGGCAGTTGTTAAGTGAGTTGCACCTTATTTTACAATCTTTTGGCTACAATTGTTAAGTGAATCTCATGATCATTAAGCGAATCCACCTTTCCCTATTAACTTTGCTTGTCAGAAGCCAGCTGCGAAGTTCACATGACCCTGGGACATGCAGCAATTATCATAAATATACTGGTTTTCAAGCACCTACATTTTGATCACATAACTGTGGGGAAGCTGGAGTGACTATAAGTGCAAGGACTGGTCATAAGTCTTTTTTTCAGTGCCATTGTAACATTGGACAGTCACTAAATGAATGCTGTAAGTCAAGGACTACCTGTAGTCTAGTTTACAACCCTGAATTCCCTTTGCTTCAACTTATACATCTCATTTTAGGTAAATTATTTAGATTAAACACTTAGCATTGCCCAGAGGAATAATATAATCATTTTCAAACAGTCTGAGTGGTCTTTACAATGTAACTTTTGACAAATATAATTTAATATTTAAATGAAAGCCAAGATACTAAATTTCAGTACCTTAACTAGGAATATTATTCAGATGATGGCTTTGGATGATCAGGCATTCAGCATAATGGAAGGTGCTGTGTGTCATTTTTTGACATTGTACATTGTATTTTCTTTGATCTATCTATTTTTGGATTCTACAGGGTATTATGAGTGTGTGTACTCTGTATATGGTCTTGGTTCTTGATGTTGACATTCAGAATGCCTGCTGCAATATGTTTGTTATCTTCAAAGGGCCTTCAAATTGTTTGCAATCAACAGACAAAAGAACAAAGTGCAAGTGCATATTTAAAATCTCAAGCCATTATCAACATTATTTGTGGCTACTGTTTTCCTCAAAGGCTCTTTGCTGATAGCTTGTTTTGATTCAATTGATTTTTTTGGAAATTTTTGAATGTCATACATTCACCATTGAACTCTAAACATTCTCTTGTGCCTTTTTGCTCGCGGAGATTGTTTAAAGATGCAAGAAGGTGCTGTATTAATCAGCCTGTTCTGTTAAGGTGTATGCATTCATTTTGATCGTGCATTTATGCCCCGTTTATGTCCATAGTATATTTTGCTGCAAAAGTATTTGAACTTGTTGATTTGGTACATTTGATCCAGTTATTAAAAAAGCAGTTGAATTGCTGATCAAGGTTGTTTGTGTGACTTATAATTATACTTTTGTTGTTTGTGCTTCTGAGCATGTGAATGTGATTTAATATCTTCTGACAGGAGTGCTCATGCTCTGGAGGAAGCAATTGAAAGGCTGTGCCTTGGGAGATCAGAAACAGAGCCAAATCTATATACCCTCACATTCTTTTCAGAGTTAGAAATCCTATAGCCCCCAGACAAACGATCGCTCCAAAGAAGGCTATGACTGAGGATACCAGATCCAGGCTGTAAAAAATCCAGATGACAAGAAACAATAAAAGTTTTCTGTAACTCTCTGCTTCCTTCTGGTTGTCATCCAGATTTTGGCAGCACAAGAGACCTAATCACTGTTCCTCATGGATGAAATGTCCAGCACTGTTCCAGATTTGTTTATATTGAATCACAGCCAGTCTGAACTGTGTCAACAAATCTTCCAGAATTCAATGTTCTACATTTAAATTTCATTCATGCTCTTATTTAATTATAATCCGTTTAATTTCAGATGTCTGATGACTCCAGAAAACTCAGATCCACAGTTCCATCTAGAACACAGAGGTCCTATTTCCATGAAGGGTAAAAAAGAACCAATGCAAGTTTGGTTTTTGTCCAGAAAGGGCACAGAGGTATGACTAATTGAAACATTTTATCAAAATAAAAACAAAACAAAAATGATGCAAGGACTAAATATGGTTTAAGTAATCAAAATATGTTCATCAAAATAAAAACGAAACAAAAAATGATGCAAGGACTACATATAAAATCTAAATCAGGCTTTCTAATTGCAAAACTGAATATCCTCTTGAAGAAATGAGCCATTTAAAAATATTGCTATGTTAATATATTTGTTATTTTGACAGCCAATTACTATTATATATTACCAGACTTTATGTGTTTGTATTTCAGGAAATTTTTGAGAAAATGCCAACTGATTAAACATTAATTTTAATCTTTTCCCCTCCTGCACTAGAATTGGTATTTATTTAATGTCTAGTCCTAGTGATATCAGACAATTTACTGTTTTGCACATTATAGTCAAAAGCTCTTTTTACACTGCTTACGCTTTAGATTTGTTTTCAAAAATGGTCAGAACTCCCAAATTGGTTCTGACTTTGAACAGAAAGGATGGATTCTCTGCTTATTTTAATTGCCTTGACTTTTAAAGTTACTTAATTGCTGGTGTACTTCAAGTTTCCATGGCTAGAGGATTTTTTTTCTTTAAAGCCAATCATAGAGTAAACTGTAAACCACACAAGGTTCAGAACCCGAAATAGCAAATTTGAAGTGGCATCATTTTTTTTAATAATCTGAATGTTGGAAATAAAAACAAGGGTGATCTTTTTCAGATGGAAGCTTAAAAATATAAAAAAACAACATAAACTAACAATCAAGAAAAAAGATAAAGACTAAGAAGAAAATAGGGATGGAAATGCAAAAAGGTATAAAGAGAAAGAAAAGAAAACAAAGATATATACAAAGAATAACTTCCAACTTCTGCCAAGGATATGAGGAACACTTCCATTCAACTCTTAATTAATCTATTTTCATGGTCACAGTATAATATTAAACTGTTATCATATATAATGGCTGCAAAATAGCATCACTCTTGGAAGCAGTAAATAATAAATATCCAATTGAAAGATAAGTAAACAAGATTAGCCTAGCCTTCATTAAAATAAATAGAATCTAATGCTTTGATGTATTATTGAGAAAGAACTAACTCACATATTGCTCTATCCTTTGAGACATCACACAGATTCGTATCACAGTAAGTTGCAGAAAAATATCTGTAATTCTAGTGGCTTATGAGGAAAAAGAAAATGTTTCAAACTATTTAATTTCTATAGTTCACCAATTAAAGTATATTTCTGACATGCCAGATATTATTATTATTAGATTTCAGTACCTTACTTTTTAAACCTTTTTTTGCATGCCTTCAAGGAAGTAACACATGATGCTAAATGAGCCAGGTGAAAAGCTGGAGAAGAACAGAGTGAACCCTGTCCTGCCATTTATCTAGCCTGGCAGTATAAGATATGATTGCAGTTGCTTCGATTTTATGTCCAACTCCACAATAAGCAGCAATTCTTACATCAAGTTTCCTGCTTTTTCTGCTTTTTGTTCAGTTTGTATTTGATATTATAATATTTATGCTGTATATATGTTTCAAGATCTTTTGTCTTCCTTCCTGAGTTATGAACATAAATAATCCATGCAAATGCCTACTAATCATAAAATAATATTTCACACATGTGCTTTTCATCTCTATATTTTGTGACTAATCATCATGATATTTAAGCTTGTGTATGCATTTTCTATATAGAAGAAAAATGAAGGCATTTATGTTAGGTTTATGGAAATAAATACCAATTTCCACTTTAAGCTGATCATATTATTATGCATACGTTATCAAACCTTTTGTGTATATAATTGGTTTAAATATTTGTTTAAATTAGGGATAGAAAGACTTTCACAGAAAAAAAATAGATGCCCTATTTTAAGTCCCAGACTTAGGGCAGATTTTTTGGTCCCTCATCTGATTTATTTTGGAAGCATGTCTCTATGAATATTCATATTTATCCAATATGTATGAAAAAGGCCCATTATACAAATCAGCAGCAAATTGCTTTAAAAATGTTGCTTTAACAACATCCAAGGAAAAACATATGTTAGAGGAAATTATAGTACATGATTGCCAGTATGCTTTGATCTGTAAAAAATGTTAACTTGGGAAACACATTTGGATTTTTAAAAATCTGGTCCTTTCTTATGTAGCCTTTCTAGAAGTCCTGTTCTTTTGGATAATTTCACTTGTATCAGAGCACTGAAACTAATTGTATTTTCATGATATGTCTCTAAAACTTCAGAGCATAGATTTTATATGTACTATAGTAATATTTTATCCTTCCAAGCTTTTAATGGCAAGAATAAGAAAAAATTATAATTCTGTTTCAAATTGCATCCGGGTGGAATCTCCAAATTAATGATGATGCACTTCTGCAAAACATCTTTTCTACTGTTTATCCATAAGTAAAACATTTCACATATGAGTAAGTAGTAAAACCTTTCAAATTACCTTCATTTTATTGCTTAAAAATAATTAAGTTATATGTGGGTGAATCAGATTCATCTTGTGTTCATATATAATCCAATGGAAACATAACGCTTATGTAAACTGCATTTATATTTCTATGAAGTTCTGATTATTTATCCATATTCCAAATATGTCAAATTAATAAATATAGTTTAGGTATATTGTAGGGAATAATATATCAGTTTAAATTAATTTGATATTTAAATATGTATTAGATATAAATAAATAAATCATGATGATAAGGCCAGGCGGGAGGCAGAGTAGAGTTGCTACTATCATGCAGAAGACTCAGATGGTTTTCTGCTTTTTTGACTTTATGAAATTGCATTCTAGGGATCAGTTGGGATTGTAGTTACTGTACTAGCCCTCCTGCCTGAGCTATGTTAACTACAGTGTTTTCCCAAAAAAATAAGACTCTTATTTTATTTTATTTTTTTCCTCCAAAATGGGCACCAGGTCTCACCTCGCAGCAGTGGCACCAACAGCCCCATCCAGCTGGCCCACTAATTCTGTGGCAGCTTGCTGCCACTCATGCACGTTGCCCCTGGCCTCCATTTTGCCATCGGGCCTTCAGGAAAGGTCTCTGCAGCCAAGAACTGCGCTCCGGATTGACTCATGCAGTGCCATGGGCCTCCAGGAGGCGCTGTCCGCATCAATTTGGAGCTCAGTTCTCAGTCACAGAGGCCTTTCTGGAAGGCCTCTGATGGCAAAATGGAAGCCGGGGGCAACGTGTGTGTCAATCCAGAGCTCCACTCTCAGCTGCAGAGGCATTTCCTGAAGGCCTCTGATGATGAAATGGAGGCTGGAGGTGACATGTGCATGAGCGGCAGCAAGCGACCACAGAAGAAGTGTGCTGGTGAGGTGAGGCAGGTGTCAGGGCATGGGAGACCTGGCTGCAACAGTCAGTACGTGCGGGGCACGTGGGGTAGCTGCACCCCTAAGCTTGATTTTTAGGTGTGTACCTCGCCCTAAAACTAGAGCTTATTTTTGGGGTAGGGCTTATATTAGGCCCACCCCCAAAAATCAAGCTAGGGCTTATTTTTAGGGTAGGGCTTATTTTTGGGGAAACATGGTATTTCCCATGGCAGGGCTATTTCCCAGACTCAGGCTATCCCATGTGTAATCTGAAATGGCTCAAAAGTGACTCAAAGGTTCATGACCACCATAACTACCATGAGCTTAACCTGGGTCATCAAGGACCCAAGATGTACTGATGGTCACATGCTGGACTGGCTTTTTGTGTGTGTGTGTGCTCAGAACACTCTTGCAGCCCCAAAGATGCTTTTTCACAAGGCAACTTGTAAGGACCCACCCACCCCACTTTGCATCTTAAGAAGACAGAACTCTTGGACTAATTCTTCCAACAGGAATCCTTTATTAAGAGAAAATGGTTGCAGGCATGCTAGACAGGACTTGGGGTTCAAGCTCTCCCATTCAAGGTTTTAAGGGGTTCCCCAGTAGTCCCACCCAATCAACCCCCCTTCCAGTGATAGTTTCAAGTATCACAATTCCACCCCCTTTCTTCTTTCTTCCGTCTGGATGGAGACTTCAGATAACTACATGAAAGGCAAATACCCTTCTTTGGTATGCTAACGCTTTGAGGTTACAATAAACACACATTCAGCATTCAGCTCTTTGAAGTGTACTGAAGGAAGTGAGGGCCATAAAGCCCCTTTGTTCTCCCCCTTCTCTCCCTCTTATGGCAGAATCCAGAGAAGGCAGAATTGGGAGTTTCTATATTTGATAATTAAAGATGAAATATAATTGGATTCTGACATCCGGCCCCTCTTAAAATAAGAGAGATCCACCTGAAAGAAAACACAAGTATAAATTTAGTCAGGCTTGTTAGGATACTCTGTGTGAAACTTCTTCAATAGCTTCGGGGCTCTGACATGACGTTTATGGACCCACTCATTTTGTGAGGTAGGGAGGTGTTTCCAGGCAACTAGGTACTGAGTTGCCCCATGATATCTCCTAGAATCAAGGATTTCCTTTATTTCGAAGTGTTGTTCACCCTCCACCATGAGTGGAGGTGGTGGTGGGAGGATTTTTGGCCGTAGATGTGACTGATGCTCTCTTTTCAGCAAGCTGCAATGAAAAATTGGGTGTATTTGCCTGAGATTTGTGGGTAATTCTAATTCTACTGTTACTGGATTTATGATTCTTTTAATTGGAAAAGGTCCTATATATTTTGGTCCAAGTTTTTTACAGGGCTGTAGGGACTTTAGGTATTTTGTAGATAAGTACACCATTTCTCCTATAATGAATGGTGTAGGCTCAACCCTTTTTTTATCGGCTTATGTTTTGTATGCCTGCCTAGCTTCATCTAGTGCTTTTCTGACTATTGGCCAGGTGTTTTGTAATTTCTCCATCCATTCTTTCAGCGAAGGGATCGTTGGTTCGTTTGGGGTTAATTCTGGCATGGGGTTGAAACTTTGACCGGTGGCTAATTGAAAAGGAGTGTAACCTGTGCTGGAGTGGACTGCATTATTGTAGGCAACTTCTGCAAAAGGAAGTAAGTCCGTCCAATCACTCTGTTGGAAATTTAAAAAGCATCTCAAATATTGCTCAAGTACTGAATGGCACCGTTCCGTTTGTCCATCTGTCTGAGGGTGATGGCTAGATGTCAGTCCCTGAGTGGTCCCTAAGAGAGATAAAAATTCCTTCCAAAATGCAGACGTAAAATGCACTCCCCTATCAGAGATGATGCGTTGGGGTGCCCCGTGCAATCTGTAAATGTGCTGGATGAAAAGTCTTGCTAAGGCCTTTGCAGTGGTAATCTTTTGGCAAGGGA